AATGGAATCCCAATTAGGATTTATCTTTTTAAAAGAATTACTTGGACCACAGGTCGACCCACTCTGTAATATGGGTTTATGAAATGTATAGGAAGTAAAGGCGGTCATCACGTGATATTTTCAAGGTTACCTATTGAGTGTCGATTATTATATAAAATATATGCAGCAAGCACCAAACACCACATATATGAACCAATTAAATTCTGCTATTTGCTTTACCTCTTGCAAATATTATCTGAGATATTCGCAGCATGTTATTTTAGCCTTGATGTCAGTTTTCACATGTTTTAAAACGTGTTCGCTTTTGCTAGTAATTATTGCAGCTATCTTTGCATAATTGTCAAATGTTTCTGTGTTTCTTTCGTTGTAAAGTGGGTTGATTGCTCTGCCATGTTTTTAACGAATGAGCAAACTTTACTTTGAAATGTTTAACATTTCAGCATGAACTGTTGCTCTAGATCAATCAATCAATCAATCAATCAATCAATCAATCAATCAATCAATCAATCAATCAATCAATCAATCAATCAATCAATCAATCAATTAATCAATCAATCAATCAATCAGAACGTCCTTAACAGAACGTCGCTCTCTTCACGGCACCGCTGAAAGTATCTCTTGTTCTAGGCAATTCTCCAGTCCTGTATGCTTTCATAGTCTGTTCATCTTCAGTGTCTCGTATCCCTCTTTGCAAAAGTCGGCCTCTACATCGTTTTCCGGAAACTGCGCCCTCCATCAACGTTCTCTCCAGACCACCATGGCGTTCAACATGTCCAAAATACCCCCCCCCCCCCCCCCCGCTTTCGGGAAAGGATGCCGTTTATTAGCCAGTTCTCCCTGATGTAAAGGTCATGTTGGATGTCGAGTTGTTTCCGATGCAAGATGGAATCATTTCATACTACTATTACATTATAACAGCACACTTTACTTTATCCACCCCAATCGTAAAATACCACAGATATAATCTATGTTTTATTATATTTATCTCTGTCATATATTATACATACATAATCTTTCTTTAAAATGCCTATTAATTTTGAGACTTTATGATATGAATAAAGTGTAGCAGTCATGCGCCTTTTTTTCACATATAAGATGAAACCATTTCGTATTAATCTCAGCCTATGACAATCCCACCTTAACCACCCTATTCATAAAATACCACAGTTATATAATCTATGTTTTAGTATGCTTATTTCTGCTATATATAATATACACTTTGCTTTAAATTACCTATTTATTTAGAGGCTTTATTATCAAGATCGATTACAGTAGGCACTTCTTCAGCCTGGGCTTGTTCTAGATACTAGGCGGTATCCGCGTTTTTGAATACAACATCAACAACCAGATACGTACATATTAATGATAACCTCAAGCCAGAGCACTGCGTGCAGCAAGACATTACATTAAAAACAGTGGCGTGCATTCCACAAAACTGACTCCTGGAAGTAGCAGCGTCATGAAGGTTTGGCCATTAACATGTAGCACTCACTACCTGTACTCACATGACTCGGGCTGATGCCAGATTCCAGGGCGATAAATCTGTCATACTATTTCAGCGGGAATCGTAAGGCCAGGTGGTAAACTGCAGTTGTTGGAAATTTATTTTGTTTTTAAACTGCCAAATATCGTCTTAAAGACAGCAGAACGACAGCCCTGGGATGTTCCAAGATAAACCTGGAGTTGAAATGTGCTGTAACACAGCGTATAATTGGGACGCAGGTCAACAATGACGGGTTAAGTGTCCTGTATCTAGGTGGATATTAATGATTCAAAACTCAAATCTCGAAATACACCTTACCTACTTGACAACCTAATGCTGCTGAGAAAGCTTTTTATCCAAGGTTGAATGTCGGCGTTAAGCCCATTCATAAACAATGCCAGTCGTTCACAGAGGCTGAGATCCCCCCGTTACAACCTTTGACATGTGTGCGTTACTCTAGCTCTAGATATTAGCTTCGTCTACATCTACATTCGTATTTTAAGTCTGTGACATAAAAGGAAGTCTACGCATAATCGTATGCTGCCGTACATCGTTATATGTTGGGGTCACAGTGTTCCTGAACGTTTAGATATATTTTAGTCATCAACACAACGTGAAATGTATCTAAGACATCTATTATGCAGAATGAGACGTTTGTTAAAATTAAAAATAGTTGTCATCAACACAACGTGAAATGTATCTAAGACATTTATTATGCAGAATTAGACGTTTGTGAAAATTAAAAATAGTTGAATCTTTACACCAGGTGAGGTAGTCTGCGTATACCAGTGCCTTTATTTTGCCAGTCAAGATAGATAAATAGGTAAACAAATAAAGGCCATATTTCCGAGCACTGAGGTATATAGAGCAAGTGGCTCTTGCCCTACTCTGCATAGAACTTTAGTTCAACTGGCACTTAGAAAGTGATGTGCTCAAATTCATGTCATCTGCTTTTACTTCACATAGCATTCCTGGATACCCACCGAGGTTGAGTCACCGCTGAAGTCAAGACCAATTAAATATAATCCTCACCTTTAAAAGAATTTAAAACACATGACCACCGGATGGACAAGCACAATAGTGAAGTGAACAGAGTTTAAAGCAAGGCAAGTTTGAGATGGGGAGCTTGGACAGCTCAGTGGCTAGACGCCTACCTACATACCACAAGATCTTGGATTAAAATCGGCCACGATTTTTATTATTGAATTAGACCTTACAGGTCAACACAGCCTACAGTATAAGCAGAGGACCCTCTTTCCCGCCTTCAGGCTAATGGGCAAATAGGGCTACACCTATATTATATAGACCAATTGGCACTCGGTAGATGATGTGGCCAGCATCACTCGGGCCACTGTTTCTTCCCAGGACTGTAGCTGGTATCCATTTAAACCTGGGCCACCTGGGAGCCAAAGTCATTGTTGAAAAAATGCCCGGCTCCGTTAGGACCTGAACTCACGACCTTTCAATCCGCGGGCGAACGCCTAGCTACTACATCTTAGCGGCTCCCACAGTCTCAAAAGGCTACTAGGAAACAGTCGACAGTACCACACAAGTGCTGAACTGTTATGCAAATATATATCTGGTACAATCAGTCAAACTCGACAAAAACGTGAAAAGGACTTTGAATTTCGTTTGAAGCTCCAGGTACCCTTATTACCAGAGCCATCCCAATTCGGGTGACCATATGTCCCGACCTTAACGGAACAGTACCGTGTTTTAGGTGTGCCCTGACCATGCAGTCGGTCAAACCGACTTGCTTGGCACGTCTCGTTTTCAGCACAAACTATTAGTGCGGTCCCCTTTTCAGTTGAAGATGTTAGTCACCCGTGTCTTAACGCACGGGCCCGCTAGGTGGTTGTCCCACGAGCATAGAGGCCCTAAGCTATAATAAGTGTTTGTCAAGTGACTTGCAATAAACATTATTTTATTTAATTCCTGTGAGCGACTGTAGTTAGGGGATCCAGCACAGTGGTTTGTCCAGGGTCACACAATGCTAGGTTCTTTATTAATATCTTACCGCAGATGACGTCACAGGACAGTCCTACATTTTAGAGGGTGGTAAGACTGGGTTTTCCGGCTTTCTGATTCTTTTAACGACCCCAAAACATCTAGAACTGGTCCTTACCGCAACCCACCTACGTCCCACGAGAGAGTACAGCCTAGGTCCATCGACTGCATGCAGCCTTTTTACCACCCCCTGAAATATTAGACTGTCTCGTGACCTATATATTTTCCCTGTTTGTGGTAGCATATTAATAAAACGCCTAATGCTGTTAAGACGGCCCTGCTTGTCTTTAACGAACATAGAAAACAACGTTTCTCACACTTGAGACCACGGCAAGCTACAGTATACAAGTGTATGAAGCCTGTGTGTCGAGGAAACACAACAGTTGGTTTAAATGCTATTGAAAGCAACGGATGTAGTTTTGAACCTGAGAGGGCATAGATAATTGCACCGCCCTTCTTGTGCAATACTCGGTGAAAGAACTAACAGTTCACATTTCGATACGTGGGAGTATGCAATAATGGAGTCTTTGCAACTGAAGAAATATGACGGATAGGGTTTAGAAAACAACTGAATAGAAAATTAATATTGGAGAGTAACTTTACTCGTTCTTTCTTCGGCAATACACCACACACCCTTTTAAACTATGCTTCTTCTGTAGCAGCCAATATGGCATGGACGATCACACTTTCAACATTCCGCTTTTTCTTCATTTCTTCGTGTTTACCGGTTGTAAACTATGGCGGAAAGTTCTGGTTGTTCGTCCACTTTTAGACTCTAGTCTGATTCTAGAATCTCAGTGTTGCGTGCACATCTGACTCATTTGTATGCAGACTGTTGGTTCCTTGACTCTCAGGCAGATGCACTCCGAATTCGAAAAACAGCTTCCATTTAGTCGACCATTACGCTCTTACGACATGCTTTTGGAAGGCAGTGGGTCTATTCTTGTTTTCCCAACAACATTTAGTCAGTACATATTTTAAATGTGCTGAATAGTTATAAATATGATAATTGATTTGAAACAATGTATGCTTAAACTAATGAGAACTTGGTGGGGGCAGCTTAGCCTCCCTTGCAAATTTAGGGGAGGAGAGCTGAACCCCTCTCCCTCCCCACCCCCTCATCCTATACCCCTTCCCCCAGTGATGTAGCATAGTCAGGATATAACAGGTGAGAAAATTACCGGTCACCTGCCCTTCCCACTCCACATGTATATATATATATATATATATATATATATATATATATATATATATATATATATATATATATATATATATATATATATATATATATATAAATACATACAGTACACAGTCCTAACATTCTATTTTAGGAACATAATCTCGAAGATTTAATTAAACACATAATTATACAATTCTAGCTCACTCGTAGTAATACATTAAAAAAAAGGGATACATTGATTATCAAATCATGTCTATATTTACAATCCTCAAGTGGCACATATTTAGTTCACTTAATCACGCCGTCACAACACACCACAGAACTTACTATCTTTTAGTAACAGCCACCAGCACTGTATAATCGCTAGTTTTGGCAGCTTTAATAGATCTGAAATTAGAAATAATTAAAAATTAATGACCAGCAGCTTAAGCACACACACCCCCAAAAAATAGAATAATTAATTAACATGTCAACATACGCATACAATTTCGCTTTCTAATAAGAAAAATGTAGCACAGATGGGAGTCACCTTCTTTGCGCAGGTGGAGGATGTAAAAGATTTCTAGGTCAGTACATTAAAGCAGGTTGGAGTTCAGGTGTTTTGTGTGGCTGGTCCCTGAGGTTGTCTTGTGTGAACACAGGACAGCAGACGACTTCCTCGCTTGATGTTATGACATAACATGTATGCAGACAGGAAGAGGGGAATTTATTTAAAAAAAAAAAAAAAGATTAGCAGTAGGGGGAAATGGCAACATAAAAAGAAGGAAATGACAACAGAAAAGGGAGAAATAAGAACACGGAAGAAGAATGGGGACACACACACACACACACACTCACACATACACACCACACACACACACACACACACACACACACAAAAGAATGTATGGGAAAGGGGAAGTAGAAACAAAACGTGCGAATGGGAAAATAGAAAGGAAATGGAAGAACAGAAAAGTTTTTTAAAAAATGCGGGGGGGGGGGGGGGGGGGGGGGGGGTGAGAAAATAGAAAGAGGTAAAAAGGAATATAGTACGAGAACAAATGATAAATTAAACAGGAGAATTGTAAAAAAGAAATAGCAAATGAAAACAAACATAGACAAAAAGGGAGTAATACGAAAATATGAAAGAAAAGAAAAAATTTTTCAGAATCTTGGTCAACGGGTAGTGATTATGTAGCTAATCGAGAAGCGCAACGAAATCTGTACCTAACAACTTAAGGTGATTTTACTGACGAAGTCTTGTTACAGTCGTTCCCTGTACGACTCTAAACTAATTATACATCAGACAAATATGTTTGCTTACTACCGGTATTAATAGTATGTCTGTCCAAGAAGCGGCTGGGCGGAGGGTTAATAACACTGTGCTTTCATGGTGGAGATTCAAGTTCGAATCCTCGAAAAAGCTTTTTTTTTTTCCGAAGGGCAAAAATAAAATCTTTACCAGCGCAGTCCGTTACGACTGCACTGGCCATGTATCCGATAGCTAAAAAAAAAAAAAAAATCTTCTCTTTCTTCGCTTAAACTGCAAAAGTGGTGAATACATACATTGATGACAGATTTTTATTTACAGTCTATTCAACAAAAAATATGTTGTAATTAGGTTGTGGTCTATAAACACAGTTTCGGGCGAAGGAGCGCACTGGGGAGGATACTAGTCTTATCCTAGGAAAGGTTATGCAACTGAAAACTTTATGTTATCGCAGGGCAAACCAGGCTCTTAGTCTTGGCAGGAAGCTGGTCTAATTGAAAGTTCTGACAAGCGGACAGACCGATTACTGCAATTCTGATCAGAAGGCTTCTGCAGCCTGCTTTGATCCAAACGAACTGGTGTTACCTTTCCTTTGGAGTAAATAAAGCAAGTCGAGAGCGAGAGAAAGAGAGAGAGAGAGAGAGAGAGAGAAAGAAAGAGAGAGAGAGAGAGAGAGAGAGAGAGAGAGAGAGAGAGAGAGAGAGAGAGAGAGAGATATCATGATGCATGGGCAACATATGATATCTATAATACTTCCCAGAGCTATAGAGAGGTGGATAGTGAAGTGTGTTTATGATAGACCTGCAGTCTATACTGACTGCGAAGAGCTGGAGCCAGTTGACCATTTTACCTATCTGGGATACACAGTGAATAACAAACTGTCTCTTGACCAAGAAATCCACATCAACATAGATAATGCAAAAACTCTCATTCATTCATCAGGCTTGTGTTCTCAGCACTCTGCTTTATGGCATTTAAACTTGGCCAGCTTATTCGCACCAGGAGAAACATCTAAACTGCTTTTACATGCAATGCCTAAGAAGAATACTTGGCATTAAGTGGCAGGACAAGATAACAAACACTGAGGTTTCGGAAGGGGCAGGAATTACAACAGTTTTCTCAATGTTTAGTGTTGGGTCACACCTGGAGAACAGAGTCCTCTATGGTAATATGGATGGGTGGAAATTGTCGAGGTCAAACTCTACTACGATACAGAGATGGGCACAAGCGTGACATGAATGAGACAGGCATTGAGGTAGACTCGTGGGAACAAATGCCATAGACCGTATTGTATTAAGGGGGCATACGAGGAAGGGAATGGGAATGAAGTAATAAATTACTGCAGAAAGAATGAGAGCCGAGCGTCTAAGAAGAAACACACTAAACAGACGTTGACAAATACGGTCCTGAAATCCCATGCTATAATTGTATAAGACTTCTTAACACGGGCTGGTCTTGCTAGCCACACTCGCCATTGCCATGGGCTGTGATTCCTAAGCCTCTTCATAGCGCAGTATAACGCTATCGTCCAGAAAGACAAAAAGGTACCAATCATAAAAACCGTACAGACAGAATCTAAATCGAGAAATAAAACGTGAACGATTTGGAGCACACAAACATGCACCTGCAACAGAGGGAGACTTTCCAATTCTTAGGTCAGATAGTTAGTTGTGTATCATTTTGAGGGCGATGTCAATCTTCTGTTGGTGGTTGTTGTTGTTGTTGTTGTTGTTGTTACTTGCCACTGAAACGAATGGTCAGCTCTCACTAGCACTTACATTATCAACAATAAAGAGCCTGCTGCTAAATCGCCGGCAGCTGGAATCGAACCAAGTGTTTCGTCATTACAAGAAGCAGTTTCAACGCCACAGATACAGACGCCAACAACAAACCAGAAAAGATGTTGAGCTAGCTTCCTTTCATTCTTTGTTAGCTTGCTCAAACATGAGATCCTGACAGAATATGAGATTTAAATTGTATTGATGATACTGGAAGAAGGAATGCGTTTGCTTTGACTGTTGCCTGTTTGCATTGCGATTTATGAAATCACAATTCGCCGTCCCCAAAGCTGGCTAAGTATTTTAGCATTGTGTTTTATGTTTGGCCAGGTTCTTGAATTTGCCTATGTTTCAATGTAAGTAAGTAAAAAGTAAAGAGACCTTTTGCACGCTTTCATGCGTATTGGGCACGTAGGGCCGGATCTATATTCTACAGGTCAATCGGAACTTGATGGGTGATGTGGTCAGCACCACGCCGGCAGCCTTTACTTCGAACGACTGCATGTGGTGTCCATTGGAGGTTGCGTCGACCTGGGAGTTACTGTTATTTTTAATTTAAAAAAAAAAAACCGGCTCCATCATGACATTGTGTCAATGTACTTAATCTTGCTATTGTAATGTAATGTGAAGGAATATGGAAGTGTCTTCTTTTCCCATTTTATCAAGAGCCTGATCTGTTCTGCAAAACTCTGGGTAGATTTCCACTTTTATTTACATAAAAGAGAAAAGATTTCAGTTTTCTGTCTTCCAGTCTTTGGTGAGTGTCTGAAGAACCGTCTAGGCACTGTTGTAGGGACAGACGAATAATTATTGACAGTTTCCTATGAAAAAAAAAAAAAAAAACGTTACCCCAATGCTACGCGACAAAGGACTTGTTGACTATAGTTGTACAGAAAGAACATGTTAGACAACAGCTTATTTGCACAAACGTTTTATGGCTTTCACTAATAGGGCATTGAAATCGATTGCGATAACTTTTTTCTTAAGAGTGTAGCACTGCGTTAGCTTAGATTTTCATCTTGTTGTGTGTTGAGAGAAAGACAGAGAGAGAGAGAGAGAGAGAGAGAGAGAGAGAGAGAGAGGGAGAGAGAGAGAGAGAGAGAGAGAGAGAGAGAGAGAGAGAGAGAGAGGTAAGAGAGTGAGAGAGTGAAAGAGAAAGAGAGAGAGAGAGAGAGAGAGGGGGGATGGGGGAACAGAGAGACAGACAGAGAGGGGAAGGTAGAGATAAAGTAATAAAAGCACAAATGTCAGACGACGTATATTTCAAATGTCTTTTATGTACTGATCCAAGAGGAGAAGGGTCCCATCAGGCGTAAGTGCTAGGGGAACTAAAGACACATGTTGTAGCCGGATCCATGGAGACAACTAATCTTGTTGTTGCCATCGAAGAGACAAAAAGCTGATTGCTAAACAAGAAGACGCTTGAAGGTCAAGTATCGAAAAAGTGCAAACATCAAAGCAGTTAAGCGGCAAATCACGTCAAAATGTACACAGTGAGTTTAGCCATGACTCTTGACAGCATCAAAGAACACACGTACCACAAAATGTTACTCAATACCTAAAGTTCAAAGTAGATAATTTCAAAGACATGTCTAGTGTTAGTAAGTAAATTAAACAGGGAGGGGCTGGTTTCCAAGCCTCGGTGGGTATTAGGTATACGCTCGTTTGCTTCTTATCGGGTAGGAGCGGGCGGGAAAGGGGGGGGGGGCTGACTATGTTGAATCCTGCCGAAAAAAGTGTCGGTTATAACTGGGGTCTAGTTGAAATTGTGACAAGTTCCAAGGCTTAAATAGTGACTTGTGCAAAGACTTGTGGCTCATTTTCCCTAGCTGCGTGTGATGTTGTAACTCTGAACACCAAAAAAGGCTTTGCTTTAAAACAATGATAGCGAAGGACAAAATAATGTTCACTTCTGTATATATATTGAACGAATTTTCAGCCGGTAATTCTGCAGCTGTCTCCATCAGCTTTCCTTATCTTTATTTTTCTAAGCAAGTGTTATTTCTGCCTGTTATGTTATTTTCTCACTTAGGAAGGAAAGTTTTGTAACATGCATCATCTCTTTGAAGGCCTGTAAGTTCTGATTCAGACTTGGTTATATAAGTGCTTTCTGTAAACCTCTTCACCTCGACATAAGTTTTCTCTACATCATGCCGAGGAGCTATTCCATTTTCCTTTGATAATCTGTATGTCTCTTCATTTCCAGGTATTATGTAATTTGCTCGCATCCCTTGCGATACAATCCTAGTGGATTTCTGAGTAGTTCACGGAAGGCTGCTATCAGTTCTGCTAAATCTTGTGATATTCAGTACTAAGACATCTGCAAATACAGTTGCGTGTTTCTCATTATTTTTCTTGAT